GGCAGTTCAATACTCCAAACACATTTGTGAATTTTTTTTTTCTCTCCTCCGTTTGGTAAATCAGCTTCAACCCTCCCGATGGCTTTAACATCTTAAAATCACTGGGGGGAAGAGCACAGACAATCCTGCAAAGGTCTGAACAGCCAAGCAGTTTGTGCTGCGCCGTGTGACCGTCACGACACCGGGATTTCACTGGGTGGACAAGGCAGATCTGGGATTTTATCCAGGATACAGCACCACAGAGGCATGAAAATCATCCAGAGGGAAGCAGGCACCGACTGAGGGCTCCAGTCACCTGCCTGAAGCTCCACGACACATTCCTACCCTTTATCCACCTCATCATCATTAGGGATTTGCCAATCTCGAGAAAGGATCCTCAGTTTTTCCTTTTTTTCCCTGAAGAAAAAAATCCCAGCAAACTCATTTTTCTCAATATTTAACCAATGCAGTTATTTTATCAAATATTTATTTCATTATTGCTAATATGTGTCCTGCTCCTTTTCTCCCACTATATATAGGAATATACTAACAGTGAAAGTTTGTATTTCTCTAGTTCTGGAAAGGGCAAATCCTAGTCCAAAGGAACTGGAGAAAATGACCTTGAGGGATCCCCCTCTAGTGGGATGAAAGGGAAATCTCGGATGCACTTGAAATTGGGCTTTTTTCCTTTGAAACGAGCAAACTGCCAACTTCTCCTTCCCGTCGCTGCAGCTGTATATCACTGAACCTACAGCAAAGCCACCCGGATGGAAAATTGACTCTGGTGATTGATGACAAAACCAAGTCCCAAACTTGCATCTGCGATCTGTGCAAACGCATAAAACTCACGCCGAAGTTGGAGCGCGGAAAACGTTTCACGTCAAGTCACCTCACGTCCCTTGCCAGACTCCAGAACTGGTGACAAATCACTCCCAACAACCAACCTCTGGCCTTGTGGGAACCACATCAGGTCACCTCCAAGTAGGGAATTCAGAGCAGATTCCAGAATTTAGGACTCAGTTCAGCATTTATTTACAAAGGTACCTGAGATCCATGGTCTTTGGAAAAACTGCCCATTGCTTCTGAGCTCTTGGCTTGATAAATGTTTTTACTCATCATCAGCCTGATGGTAACATCTGAATCCTCACAGTGACCCCCAATTAAAAAAGATTATTACATGATCCCCCAAAACCACTGAGGATTTGACAGATGATCACAATTAATAACAGCCAGGAACCTCACAGTTTATAAGAACATGGAGCTGCCGTTCCTGCAGCATCTGAAATGTCACAAGCAGTTTAGCAGATAAGAACCTTCAGCACTTAATGATGACCCTGCAACTAACACATCTTGGGATACTTCACAAACTGTACAGTCACCATTTTAAGGAAATTTAATAGCACCAAATTATTTAAATGAAGTGTTAATCAGGAAACAATTTATCTCTACACCATAAGCTATTTTTAGATGTGAACTTTCTACATCAGTGGCTCTTGCTACAGCTCAGGCTTTGGGTTGTTTGGAGAGGAGAAGAAATAAATGACTCCTGGGAGAGATTTCAGAAGTAAGTTCACCTTCAGGTCAAACAGCTCAAATGCAATCCAATTCAGGAGTGAATGAAACCTGGACCCACTCCTGGCTCCAAGGCCAGGCTGAGCCAGCTCCTAAAGGGCAGAGGGAATGGCCAGTGGGATGGATAGAACTCTGGCCATGCTCCCAGCTCTTACAGAAAGCTGGAACTGAGCAAGTCCAAGAATTACCCTTTTCTGAAGGACTTCCAAGTGAGCTGCATCAACAGAATGATGTCCAGTGCCATGTAAATTTAATTTAAATTTCAGTTACTTCAGCATTGTTTGTCAGCTTGGACTGAAGATACCACAGAAGTGACATCATTTTAGATTAAAGGGCGTAAACATTCAGTTCCCCCAGCTCACAGATTGCTACCAAGTTAGCTTACAGGTGTGAGCACCTTCCCTAAAGTCAGAGTTAGGAACCTGTTATCTAAAGTCTACACAACATGAATAACACAACTAAAACAACCCTATGTTTCTCTCTATTTTCTGCAATAAGCTGCCACACAGAATCCCAATTCTTACCCAATAAACCCCAAACTGCACCTGCAAGAACCCAAGAAGACACCAGTTTTCAAATCAAAGTCAACCTTTTTTCCAGGCAAGGTGCCTGGCTTTGCAACAGCAGGAGCAGCCCAACCTATTCCTACCTCTGCTTACAGAGCACAGAAAATATTCCTTTTTCCTACTGCTGTTTCACTTCCAGTTTGTTCACTGTCCCACTATGACTGTGACAATGGACTGTGACTTGATGTCAAGGAAAAAGTATTTTCCCCAGCCAGTGGATTTTTCCTTGTGCCAGTGGAAACCCAGCAGGGAAGAGGTTTTTTAATTGACATATTCTCATAAAGGTTTTTTGGTTTTTTTTTACATCTCTGAAACATAAACTCTCAAGGACTGGAACTTGGTTTTGTTATTATGATGATTTTTCCCCAGAGATACCTGCTTCCAGAAGTTTGGGATGTAAACACATTTATGGATTGGGAGAGGAGTTATGGAGAGATGATTTTATATGTCTGTTTGTCCAAGTCTTTAAAACCAGAAAATCCATCTTGTTGAGCTCAGAAGTGCCCTAAAGTGTGACAAAATTCCATGTGATAGGAATGACACACTCCTAAACTTTCCCTTCTGCATGTGACACCTACGTCAATTAAATCCAAGAGAAAACTCTGCTCTTGCTGCTTGGCTGCTGTAACTGGTAGTGCCAAAGAACAGAGTCTGCCCCTCCTGAATCCTCAATATTGCCCTGATCAGCCTCATTCCCTCTATTCTGCTCACAGCATTGTTATGGGGAATACCTTGGGAAAGATCAAGACACCACTTTTCCCAGCACTAACAGGTGAGGGGAAGCTCTGAGGCAGCAGCACACACTGCAAGGCATAATCTGCAGTGTTCTGAGCTGCATGGCAGGTCACTGCAGATATTCCAGGTGTCTTCCTGGCACTCCAGAACTCAGCACCAACTACCTACAGGTACCCATCAGGAGCTATGACCACTCAGATGAAGAAGGCAGGCACAGCTTGGGACAGTGCCCTTTTTTTCTTTCTTTTTAATCATTCTTAACTGACTAGCAACTCCTTTGTATGTTTAAGCCAACAAAGTCTCTCAGTATTTCTAAGCAAGAGGATGAAGAAGCCAAGAGGGGGGAAGAGAAGCTCCAACTATTGCCACGGTGTTATTTGAAATTCACTATCTATATTTCCCAGCATCTGGAATTTCTGGCATAATTGACTTCTTTCTGTGGGATCAAACCTCAGGCTGGCCAGGACACACACACACACACACACACACACACACACACACACAGACACAGACACACACAGAGCTGCCTGCTGAAAACTGTCACAGAAAGTTTCCCTCTGACCTGGCAATCCAAGTAGATGCCAAAACATGTAGATTCCTTGCTATAAACCTTAAATTCTTATGTACCTCTAAACATGTTTCCAGAAACTTGCTTCTCTGGAGCTATAAAGTAATTTTTGACCGTGTTCAAATGTGTTAAAAGCTGAAATCTCTTTATTTAAACATCTCACCTGAAGTTTACTGACTCAGTCCAGCACTTTCCTTCCCTAAATTAGGAAGTATATTGAAAACTAAAGCACTCCCCCCACCTAGTCATCAAAATTACAGAATAAACTGGAAAAAAAACAACCCAACCGTGAATAGTTTTCTCCTATGAACTGTGCCAGTGCCAGGTCAAAACTTTAAAGAGTCTGATGGAATCAAGGCTTCAGACACCTCAGGTCCCAGGCCAAGATTTCCAGGTGTGTCTGCTCAGTGGCACCACTTTAAAAATCCATCTCAACCACCATCATTCAGATTTGGAAGGAAAAAAACTCTGTTTTCTCCTAATAAAGGGGAATGTCTCAAAAAAGCAGGGAATTACACCTTGGCTTGACGGACTGGGGGTTGGAATTAGATGATATTTAAGGTCCCTCCCAACCCAAACCAGCCTGATTCTATGACGCATGAGACAGATTATTATTATTATTATTATTATTATTATTATTATTATTATTATTATTATTATTATTATTATTATTATCCAAGAGAAGACACCTGAATACCCAGGAATCCCAGTGTGTTTTGCACAGCAACAGGAATGTGGGGATGGTTTTGCTAGCACATGGAGGAGGTGTCTATGTTACCCATAAATGCAAAAGGCACTTGGCACTTTATGGATGTCATCCCAAACATGCTGACAGAACTTCCACTAGACCATTATGAGTTTTGTACAAGCTGTGCATTTTACAAGATAAATTGTCTCAAATGTTTTTCCCTTAATGCAATTTTTAAAAATCCACTTAGCTGTATGGACAAGTACTTCAGCAAACAATAAACATCTTTGTTTAGAGCTCAGAAGGAGCTATAAACCACTTCCATCAATAAATTAAAACAGCTTTCCACAGAAGAATCTTGCTGTTAGTAGAATGCACAATACTGAACTTTCCAAAAGCAGAAGGAAGGGCTATGGATCTCACCAGGAAGCCATAAAAAGCCCTTTGAGATCATACAGCATTTGCTTTTCCTAAGTATTAGATAAGCAATCATAAATTCTTCCCATATGTTAATTACTGTGAAATTATAGGATTTTGGCATGTACAAGGTAGCAAATACACAAAGACAGACACTGAAGGTGACTCAGAAATTCAGAATCTCTTGTGGGGGACAGATCAGCAGTCAGGGCTTAAAAACTTCCACATGAGGGGGTTTGTAAATCCCAGAATGGTTTGGGTTGGAAGGGATCCTAAAGTTGATCTAATTCCACCCTCTGCCATGGGCAGGGAGACCTTCCATGATACCAGGGTGCTCTGAGCACCACCAGCCTGGCGTGGAACACTTCCAGTTATTGAGAGATATCCATCCCTATCCCAGCTGTTCATGATAATTCCCTACAGACACTGCAGGTTTTCTCCCATTTTTTTTCCCTCTAGCAAGGTCTCCTCTTACCTGAATTTGGCGAGATGTGTAAACTGCTCATGTCTTTGGAGAGGCCATTGGTTTTGGGGCTGGAGATGGGGGCACAGGCTGATGTGGCTCGGGGTGGCCTCTTCCCAGGGACCTTCACCGTGGTTCTCAGCAAGTCAATCTCTTTCCCATGAACGTTCTGCATGTAATCCTGGAAAGAGAGAAAAAAAACCCCAAACCCAACATCAGGCAGGGAGTTCTGTGAACAACAGAATTAATAAACCTGGTTTCACAAGGCTTTTGGCCCTACATCCTCTGCCAGCACCCACCATATGGATTTCTCCTTCCTTCCGTGATCCTGGTAATCCCTTCTCATGTCAATTAACCCCAAAAGTCTGGAGCTTTCTCATGGATCCTCCAACTACCAGCTAGTTAAGAGGTGATCCACAACACAGACATGTGTGGGAATTCACCAGCTAAAGGCCCCAAACAGAAGGAGAAGACAAGGCTGAGGGTCACTCCTGAGCATATGTCTTTGTGTCTCCTCTCTGCCAGCGTTTTATGCCCTCATCCCTTTCTCCATCAAATCTGGCTGGAACCGATCAGTAGGCTTTGTATCATAGTTTTGTAACTGAAGTTACAAAAGGCCACCAGCAGGGAAGGTTTCAGCAATTCCAACATTGTTTCCCTAGAATATGACCCTTCCTGCACCTACACAAAACATCACCAAAGGGGATAAAAATCATGCAAATTGCATCCGATCCCAGCAAACTGGGAGCCAGAAGTGGAAAAGGCCTTTACTAATTCTTGCTTGGAAATTCCACAAAGGGGAAATAAACAGAAAAGCAAATGGACATGGGTGTTTTCATCAGAGGGCAAATTGATCCTGGGATACACCAGCACAGATATTTCCAGGAGAGATGGTGAATGTTAAAGGCAGCACATAAGACACCAAAGCTCTTGGTACACGAGGCTGTGGTCACTCACATTCCAGAAAAAAATAATTGGAACTGGAACAACTATGAGGACATGAAAAGCAGAGACACTCTCTTGAAGAGGACATGCAAGAGGGAAAGCACACGAAAGTAAAATCAGGGATGAAAAGGGGAAAGAGCATTGAACAGAAAGATATCTGGGCTGTCCAGACAAGCTGTGGCTGTCCCTGGATCCCTGGAAGTGTCCAAGGCCAGGCTGAACAGGGCGTGGAGCAGCCTGGGACAGTGGAAGGTGTCCCTGCCCACGGCAGGGGATGGAATGAGATGAATTTTAAGGTCCCTTCCAACCCAAACCACTGCAGGACTCTGGGATCCCAAGGATCCCAAGAGAAAAACAGGGATTTGACGTGGCTGGAGAAGATCTGGGCTCCCTCTTCACAAGAAATTTCCTGACTTTACCCAAAATCCGTAGCACTGCTGCCACAATCCAGGGAGCTGACTGCTCCCTCATCAAGAGTCTTTTACCTTTGGCAGTTTTTAAAACACAAATTATTTATTCTGCTCAAAACCCATCAGAAATCTGGACCAGCAATAATTTCGTCATGGTTAACAGAAATTAGTGATAAAACTCTCAAACTAAGCCATCACGGCAGCTTGTTTTTCCCAAGGTGTCTGAGAATCATTAACAGGAAAAGGTAGAGAGGACACAGAGCTCTGCTGCCAAGAGAAAAACAAAGGCAATCCACTCAAGACAATTCCTTTAACTAGGTGTTGGAGAACAAATATCTTTCATCCATAAATTATGAACTTGACAGAACTTTCTTGTTCAGGTGTCACTTCTTCACAAATTAAAACACAATAAGCAGAAGGTAATTGAGCATTTATTGCTTGTGGGCTCTAAAGTGAGGTGTAATCAGAGAGTGACTAAACCTTGACACATGCTCTTTTCTAGTACTTTTATTTAAGGTTCTTAAAGTGGAGCAGGGGGTTTTGGGTCCACCTCAGGTGAAGGGTAGGAGTGATTTCACAACCCGAGATGTGGCAGGGTGTTATTAAAGGTGTGTTAACTGGGTGCAAACCAGCCTGAGGTGAGCCACAAAGCCACTTGAGGAAGGAGGGAGTGTTAGCAAACACAAACCCTACGCCGCCGTTAGAGCGAAGCGCCCGAACGACAACAGATGCCGGGTAGGTATTAATGTCAGCTTAAATATTTATGGGGATATATCAAATGTAAATAATAAAGAGCCTTTCATCGTGTGCAGGATGCACGGCGATAATCGGCGGGTCTCCCCGAGGAGGGGAGGGCAAGGACCGCGTTCCCAGCCCCGTCTGATCCCTGCTCGGGGAAGGGAAGTTCAAACCACAAAATGACGCCGGCGCTTCAGAAGCGCAATGGAGGGTTTGATCAGATTAGAACAGATGAGGGTCTTGCTGTCATCTGGAATATGCTGTGTTAAAGAGAAGACAGCAAGCTGGATTTTGATATGCAAATGATACAGGGATAACTCCCCAAGATGTTAGTTGTAGAAAATGCTGATCCGAGAAAAAAGGGGAAAAAACCCTTTAACAAGGCATGAGGGTAATTCAAAGCCAAGTACTTTTAAACAGCACTTAACAAGTCCCTAGAGCCCACTCAACAGTGGGCCACCCCAGACGTGCCATCTTCTGCCCCTCAACAGCTTGAAAAAGTAGTAATTGCGAATCTATTTGCATTTTTCTTCTCAACTTGTCCGCGTTCATCATTCAGCAAGGCGGGGGAAAAAATAATAAAAAAAATAAAGCCAGCAGCAAAGCAGAGGGACCCCTCCCCAAACATGTGGCGCAGGGGAGACGCGGGCACCCCGATCCCCCACACCCCGCGCCCGCACCTCCGCCGTCGCTTGTTTTTTACATTTCGCTCCTAATTATGTTGCATCTATTGCCATACACTTAATTAGCTGCATTAATGTGATTTCTTTTCACATAGTCAAGCAATTAAGAGCTATGATTGAGTTTCATTCAATTAGCCTCAACAAACATGCTAATTGATGTCCCAGATGCAAATGAGGTGCAGTGAGAGAAACCTGCTAGCAATTGAGAGTTGTGGCGGGGGGACCCGGGGCTCACAGCTCGCTGGCAGCAGCACGGCTGAACACGGCTCCCCCCTCCTCGCAGGGCAGGGGGGACAGCAGCCATCAGTGCCTCCGCTGTCCCAGAGAGATCCCTACAGGAACATAGCACTGAATCCGATCGGCGCCACCTGCGGTTCTGGCGGCGGAACGCGGCGCTGATGCCGCGATCCGAGGGCCACCCAAGGTCTCCATGGCGGCTGCGAGCTGCTGGGACGCCGGGCAGGTGATGGCCTGCAGTCAGCCAGCACTAACCGGCAGCTCCATCTTAGTCAGAGCGGGGCGACGCTGCCTCCGCAGCCATCAATCCACAAGCCCCCAAAACGCGCTCCCCGCGTCGATTCTCATCCCTTTTCGTCCCCGGGTTACCGCTCCGCTACGGCGCCACCGAGGTGTTAATTTGACTACTCTAGGCCATTGACCATTATCTACAGGACTAAATAAACTGTTAAAATATCAGGGGGGAAATAAAAAAAGCCGCATTGACTGAAGATGACACCAAATACTACTTGACAGCCCCACAAAATGAATTGCCTTGAGTAAGAAAGGAACGGCACCGTGACACAGAATAATGTAAATTTACTTTAGTTCTGCTCTTAATACAGCAGCTCTCTGTTTACAACAGCAGAAATTAATTTAGCCAATTGACTGAGCAGAAGCCTTTCAGACATGCAAATTATTGAGCAAACGGGGGTGTTTTCTAAACAGGCCTACCAAAAAGTGACACCACGGTTTTGGGGGCCCCCTCTGGATTTGGAATGCCAGCAGTTGTTGAATTTACAACAATTGAATTTACAATGATTTCCCATGGTGCTCACAGCTGGAGAAGACACTCTACCAAGGGCCACAAGCTGAAGCCACGCTATGTGGTGGCTCCAGCTTGATGCCTATGTCCAAACTAGCCCTGAGCACTCCCAGGGATCCAGGGGCAGCCACAGCTGCTCTGGGCACCCTGTGTCAGGGCCTGCCCACCCTCACAGGGAACAATTCCTTCCCAATATCCAATCTGAATCCACTGTCCTTCAGTTTAAAGCCATTCTCCCTTGTCCTATGCATGGTTGTCCTCTAGAGCCATCCTTAAGTTAAAGATATGGCTCAGATTATCAAAAACATGGATATGAAAAAGGTTATGGAGTTTGAACGTTTTCAAATAATACAAGAGTGGTGGATAGGGAGAAAGCCCTTCACTCGGGTTGTAGTTTCACACTGGGCAAAGGGGTTTCCAAGCTCACATTGAAACCACTCACACTGGGATAAGCCATGTGTCACAACACTAAAATGTAAAATAATATCTGCTCCTTCCTAGAGGTCTCCCCATGTTTCTTCCATCTGTCCCACTGCCACCCTTTTCCAATGCACCACATATGAAATGAGAGACTCTTCGAGAGCAGTGACTTTCCAAGGATATAATGGTACACAGGTATGAATACCACACTTTCTTCTTCCTTTTCAGCTATTCCAATCTCTCTTAAGTCTGTTTTTCCATCACTAGGAAAAAGTCCAGGCTAAGAATCCTCCCCAGATCTGTGCCTGGTTTCCACTGAGACATGATGAAGTTCTAATGTATCCCTGGAAGTGTCCAAGGCTAGGCTGGATGGGGCTGTGAACAACCTGGGATAGTGGAGATGTCCCTGCCTATGTAAGGGAGATGGAATGAGATGAGCTTCAAGGTCCCTTCCAACCCAAACCATTCTGTGGTTCTGCAAAATACACCTTCGTTTTGCAGAAGTTTCCCCCCAGTGTTCAATCGGACGTAACATTCTTTAAGGCTCCACTTACTGAGGTTGAAATAGTGTTTCCTGATCTGAGGCGTAATAAAAATTATTATGGAAAAGGAAGTTTATGGTTGCACCTCTGGATGACATTTTAAAGACTGTGTGCAGCATATTTTTTGAAAGACAATTCCAATTTTGTGAGCTGACCTATTGGACTCACAAAACCTATTGTTCACCCTCAGCAACAACCAAATCCTCTTCCCCCCAAACCAAGAGCAGCCCGGGAAATTGGATGGAGCCCTGACTTTTGTGCCTCTCTGTGGCAGTCAGACATTTTTATTGCAAAATGCCGTCTGGAAAAGATGCAAAACAAAATTGCTAAACTGCAAAAAGAAGAAAAGGAGGGGGGAAGAAGAAGAAAAAAAACAAAAGGCCCCCTTCCCTTTGCTTATT